TAGCCATTTACTTGGGTCCAGTTGTTCTGCCCAACTGGAGACAATCCAGTCCCTATTTATATTTATAGAGTGTGTGTGTGTGTGTGTGTGTGTGTGTGTGAGAGAGAGAGAGAGAGAGAGATGCGTTACAATGTCGGGGTATTCGCGAGGGTCGCGCTTGTACATCTCGACATACTTGCCGCGAATGAAGAGAAAGCGGAGATGATAGTACTCGTGGCCGATGGAATTGACGCGAAAATGGTAGACCCAGCCGAAGAACTCGAACCTCCCTCTCTCTTCCGTCCCAGCTCCGCTCTCCGATGACCCTCCTTCGCTCCCAGTCTTCTTCAATGTCAACGCCGACGACGCCATCTCCCTCTCTCTCTCTCCCCTCTCTCTCTCTCTCTAAAAAAATACTCTCTCTCTCTAGAAAAATGGAGACAATTCTGGTATTTATTGATTTTGGTGGCGTTGAGTGATTTTCCCCAAAATTTGAAGTGTTTTTGAAGGCGAGAATAGAAAGAAGAAAAGTACTTGGAAGTAGAGAGAGATAGAGATTGACATGGTGTTTACTTGGTGAGCCTTAGGGAGCTGAATAAATTATTAAAGTTATTATTAATTTTTTTATATGATAATTTGTATAAATTTTATATTTATAGGAGAGATTTCATAAAAAATTTAATAATCTATTTAAAATTTATGGCAATTTTCTCACTGGTTGGTGTTTTGGTTTTGTTTGGCCAGCGAAGGAGTGGTAGTCGGAGGAAATAAATGGAGAGGGCGATGATGTAGACGTTGTAGATTGAAGTCAAAATCAAATCATCAAATAAAAGACAAAAAAAAAAAATCAGAAAAGGATCCGGATCGTCTCCGGTTAAGATTTGAAACAATTTGATCCAATTTGGCTCATTAAATATACTTTTGTACTCTTTTTTTTGATAATTCGAACTATTAATATTTAAGAATTTGTTTAGTATATTATTTCTGTAAAAAATCATGTCGATCGGATAACAGATACTATATTCGATCACTTTTTTCTGAAAAAAAATGAACGGTCAGAAAATTAACGATTCGTAAAAAAATGATCTGAATACATAATATTCATTATTCAATTATGTGATTTTTTACAGAGATAATGTATTCAACAAATTCTAAAATATGAATTGTTCAGATTATTAAAAATGAGCCCAAAAGTGGACCCAATGGGCCAGACTGGACCCTCCAGTCCACGACTGGAGGCAAGCCCCAGCAAGCAAGGCCCAAAATCAAACCAAACAGCCCTTAAACCATAGCAAGAGAGAGAGAGAGAGAGAGAGAGAGAGAGAGAGATGGCAGGGTATAGAGCTGAAGATGAATATGATTACTTGTTCAAGTTGAAGGGGGTGCTCATAGCTGACCTTCCCCGATCGTACCCTAGCTCCCGAGCCGAGACAACTCCGGTGATGACGGACATGTGGCCTTCGGCACCGAGTCAGGGTTTCCTAAATTCCCCCATTTTAAAATATTTAGGTGGCGACTCTGTATCTGGCAAAGCAGTCCATGTTTGGCACTACTTTTTCAAAAATCTGTTTCTCAAAAAGATTTGCCAGATTTGGACTCTTTGGTTCAGATTTAGAACCGTGACACAAATCGAGTCCGAACTGTAGCATTGAGGCTCCTGCCCGGGCGCTGTTACAACTACCCGTATAATTTTTCATTTTTGTTTTTTGTGTGTTTATTTATTTATTTTTTGGGTGTGATTAATTGTGTTTTCACATACTCCCCAGGACCCACCTCGTGTGAAATCCATAAAATCTGTTAAAACCTACCATCACCTACTCCACACCTACCATCACCTACTCCACCTACTACACCTACCACCACCTACTACCACCTACTACACACCTACCACTACCACCTACTACCACCTACTCCACTACATCTCCTATATAAGGAGCCCCTCACCATTTGTAATATATAACATACATCAATCAATAATATACATCAATTTATTTTACATGGTATCAGAGCAAGGTTTCACCGGCGGGCGGCAGCCTCACCTTGGCCGTCCGCTGGACAAACCCAAATTTTCTAATTCTCTCTCTCCTTCCTCCATACCCTCACCCACATACCAGTGCACAAAAGCCCAACAGCTCGCTTTGTAGCGACGCGAAGCTCCTTCTTCGATGGTCCAGGAGGGTTCTTGAGATCATTGATTTGAAGCAATGAATTGACACCACCAGCCTTGAAATCAAGTTCTGAATCCCCTTCTCCATCAACTGGAACCTCCATCTCAAGAACACCTCGCACTTTTCCTCCATCCCAAACGTCTTTTTGTAGAGCTCTTCATTGTCAAGAGCCCCAAGCACATCGGTTCCCTCGGTGCCTTTACTAGAGCTGTCCTACACGAACCCCACTCCAATCCAGCGTGTCGCCATTCCACTCATCCTTGCAGGTAAGGATGTGGTTGCCCGAGCAACGACTGGTTCCGGAAAGACCTTCGCTTACGTCCTTCCGTTGTTTCAGAAGCTCTTCTCTGATTCTGCTTCGAATAATAACTTCGCTCCCACTGCATTCATTCTCGTCCCGACACGAGAATTGAGCCAACAGGACCACCTGATATTCTGGTTTCCACCTCGGCTTGCATAAAAACATGCTTGTCGAAAGGTGTGCTCAACCCGACATCTGTCCAGAATTCACTTTCAATACTTGTTCTCGACGAGGCAGATCTTCTTTTTCTTATGAGGAAAACATTTTTTAATATTTTTACCTCAACCTCTCCCTCTCGGCAGACCTATGCACATGGGCACACACTCACCACACAACCCAGATACACACACATGCACAACATCCCTCTCTCTTCATCATGTACCCCACTTTCTCTCTCTCACTTTACTTTTTCCACCACCCACAAAACATTATCATCACCTTTTGCACCTCACCCACGTTGCTCTATTTTCTTTCTTTTATTTTATTTTTTTTATTTATTTATTTTATTTATTTTTTTTTTCATTAAAAAAAAAAAAAAAAACAAACAAACAAACAAACAAACAAACCATTGCAGGTTTTCACAAAACCGTGGGTCACGAAACCTTGTTTTCATTATTCTTTCTTTGCACACACAAAATAAAAAAAAAAAAAACAAAAAAAAAAAAAAAAAAAAAAAAAAAAAAAAAAAAAAAACAAACAAACACTAAATTAAAATTATTTTATTCATAGAAAAAATATTGTATGTAAATTATAATAAAGGATACGTTATTATAATTATAATTTTTGTAAAAAAACATCCTTAAATTTGTAAATACCAACCTAGGAAGGATAATGGGCGTCGTAGGACAAGATGGTGGGACCTAAAAAGGGATAAACTAGAAATATTTAAGAATAGAATGGATATAGAAGGCACTTGGGACTTAGAAGATGATGCTAACATTATGTGGAACTCGATGGCCAATTGTATGAGAAGAATCTCAAGAGAAGCCCTTGGAGAGTCGAAAGAAAAGGGGCTCGACTCTAAGGAAACTTGGTGAATGAAGGAGGTTCAAGCGGTAGTAAAGACAAAAAAAGAGTGCTTTAAAAAGTGGCAGAAGGATAGAATTGAGACCTTAAGAGTTACAGCTTGGCTAATAAGGAGGTCAAAAATGTAGTAAGAGATGCTAAGTTGAAAGCCTATGATGACCTATACACCAAACTAGATAGTAAGGAGGGAGATAAGAGAATATATAAATTTGCTAAGATAAGAGAGAGGAAAACAAGAGATTTTAATCAGGTTAAGTGCATTAAGAGTGGGGACTCTAAAGTGTTAGTGAAGGATGAAGAGATTAAGGAGAGGTGGAAGAACTATTTTGAGAAGTTATTAAATGGAGAACATGGAGGAAGGTCAAAATGGAAGGAAGTAGCTAGCAATAAGGAAAACTAAGACTACAGGTTTTATCGCAGGATTAGAAACTTTGAAGTGGAAATTGCACTTACGAAGATGAAATCGAATAAGGCTTTAGGACCCGATGATATCCTTATAAAAACTTGGAAATGTTTGGGTAAGAAGGGGGTTGCTTGGTTAACTAGGTTGTTTTAGGTGGGTAGGTTAACCAGGTTATTTAATAAGATTTTGTTGATTAGGAAAATGCCAGATGAGTAAAGGAAGAATATTTTAGTGTCAATCTATACAAATAAATGAGATGTCCAAAATTACAATAACTATAGAGAAATTAAGCTGATGTGTCATATAATGAAAGTGTGAGAGAGAGTGATGGAATGTCGTTTGCGAGATATAACAGAGGTGTCAGAGAATCAATTTGGATTAAAGCCCCAAGGTCAACAATGGCAACGATTTATCTTTTGAGGAGAGTAATAGAAAAGTATAGAGAGAAAAAAAGAGACATTTGTATGATTTTTATTGATCATCAGAAAACATATGATAGTGTCTAGAAATATAATCTTATGGTTGTTAGAGAAGAAATGGGTGACAAAAGACTACATTGATGTGATTAGGAACGTGTATGAAGGTGTGGTGATGTTGAGAATACTGATCTTGATGCTAAAGCCATAACTAAAACCACATCTCAAGCTTGTCTGCTACAACGGTCCGACATGACCCCATAAACTGTCTTCTACATCGGTCCAACACAAGCCAGTGTCTTCTACATCGGTCTGCCATCACCATACAGTCTTCTACAACGGTCTGACACGACCATACAGTGTCTCATATCCATTTTTTATTTTTCAGATTATTTTCTTGTTTTGTTACTCTCTCCAAACTCAAGTTGGTTAGTTCCTATCCCCCTTGAGTTTGCGGGGGGCTGTTAAAACCTACCATCACCTACTCCACACCTACCATCACCTACTCCACCTACTACACCTACCACCACCTACTACCGCCTACTACACACCTACCACTACCACCTACTACCACCTACTCCACTACATCTCCTATATAAGGAGCCCCTCACCATTTGTAATATATAACATACATCAATCAATAATATACATTAATTTATTTTACAAAATCATTTGTTATTTCACAGTTTCTTTGTAGCTTTTGATCTCTATTTTGAACTTGATTGACTTTGATTTGACCAAAATTTCAGTACTTCATTAGATTTGTTTATCCATTATTGACATATATATGAAATATCTTATGCACATACATGCAGGTTGTTAATTCTCATATAGTAGAGCTTTGATCAATGGCCACTACAAAAGTCAAAGAAACCTCCTCATCAATGTTTAGATGTTCTTACCACGTTTTCTTGAGTTTCAGGGGTGAAGATACCCGCAAGACCTTTACCGATCATCTTTATACAGCTTTAGTTCATGCAGGAATTCACACATTTAGAGACGATGACGAACTTGAGAGAGGAGAAGAAATTGATTTAAACCTATATAGGGCAATTGAGGAATCGAGGATTTCAATAATTGTTTTGTCAAAAGACTATGCATCTTCGGGATGGTGTCTTAATGAACTTGTGAAGATACTTGAACGGAAGAGAACTGTCGATCACATAATATTGCCGGTGTTCTACCATGTTGATCCATCACATGTCAAGAAGCAAACGGGGAGTTTTGCAGAAGCATTTGCAAAACATAAAGAGGAATTGGAGGTAGAGAACAATGAAAGAAAACAAAAGGGGCTCGCGAAGGTAGAGAGGTGGAGGGCGGCTCTTAGAGAAGTTGCAGATTTGCCAGGGATGGTCTTAAAAGATGGGTAATTTTCTCTAATTCATTTGAGGCACCATTCTGATTGATCATATAGATGTTATTCCTTTATTATATTAGTGTCCTTAGATGCTTATATTACCCACCCTAGTCCATATTTCTTAATTGGAAAATTTTAAAACTTGGTGGCACTACAAGAAAAATCACTTTTGGCGACTAAATTTTTAGTCGCCAAAAGTCCACTTTTAGTCGCCGAAAGTCGAGTTTTTGCTTTCAGCGACTAATTTTTTTAGTCGCCCCTTTTGTCGCGCATAAATGGTCGCGAGAGGTATCGGCGACTAAACTTTTTTTAGTCGGCAAAAAATAGCTCTTTAGCGACCAAATGTTTAGTCGCCATTGGTGCATTACACATTTTGAAAGCACACATTTTGAAAGCACACATTTGGCATTACACATTTTGAAAGCACACATTTGGCGACTAAACATTTGTGCTTTTTCTTGTAGTGTGGAAAAGACATGATTAATATTTTCTATGATCACTTTGAACTTTCCCAAAACTTTTTTTACAAACTCTGTTTATATTAGTAACAGTTAAAAAATATCAGTTCAAAAATAGAAAGTTAATTTAATAGTAATAAAATAATTTTGAGTGTGTAAAACAATTGGCAAAAGTTTGCATTAAATAAACATTTCATATGTTAATTTAACATTACACATTTTTTAAGGCAAAAATAAAATTAATTAATTAATTAATTAAATGATAGAGGAATACAAAGCTCCCAGATTTTGGAGCTAATCTCCCATAATCAAGAAAACAAATGGACAGCTCCTTTACCAGTAAGAAAACAGAAAGACATCCGCTATGCTGCTAGAAAGAACAAGCAAAATATACTTAATCCCCAAACACCTATTACAACTTTGAATTTCTAAACCTTTCAGTGCATGAAATGATTTACCCCTTATAAGCTTTTGAATCAGCACAAGCTCTCAGTTCTCGCTCCAATTTGGAGCATTATGCGCTAGCCATGAACTCCATAATGTTGCACTGTGGGCTCCTAAAGTATGCACTCAGTGCCACTATGGTTTCTAATGTTTTGATTATGCGATTAGGTCTTTCAAGTTTTTAATTTGATTTTAACTATTATCAATTATTAACACCATTTAAATTACAAACAAAATTCAATTTCTAAGGACAACTATGGAATTTAAAAAAATATCCCTCTTCCCTTTGTTTGGTTCCCGCTTTCTCTCTTCCTTACCATCAACCTCCACAAAACTCCATGTCATCCTTTCCTACCATCAAACCCCTCTCCTTTTGCCCCTTGCACCTTCCCTCTCCACCACCCCACTTCATAGTGTTTCCCCCTCCCCTATCCCCACCATAAATGATCGCTCTCCCCACATGGTGTTATCACTATCCAACACCACCATCACTGCCATGATATCATCACCGAAGAACTATCACCGCCGAAGAACTATCACCGCATTCCATGCCCACCCACGATCTTCACCTACCATACAATTTCCCCATAATTGACTAAAGCTCAATTCTCAAACCTACTGCCAAACATAATAGTTATATGTATGTATATTTGTGTATGTATATATATATATGCATACAGAACCACCCTTGTCTTAAACCCACTGCCACCATCTGTCACCGACTAGTTCCAAAACTTTCTCATGAAATACATCTAGCCTTCATCTCTACCTATGTAGCACGGACACAAACATGTGATATAACAAGGACATGACACGGACACGCTGACGCGTTAATTTTCAAAAAATGAGGGACACGACATGCTAGGGACACGTTAAATATATATATATATATATATTTATTTTTATGATATACTTCATATATATAAATAATTTTTTAAATCATGAAAAAAAAATATAATTTAATATTAACTAAAAATTTAAATATTACAAAATTACCCACACTCACGTGGCGCACAATGATCAATATAAAAAATATATATAAATATACATATTTTGAAATAGTTATTTTGACCATTTAATTAGTTGGTGGATGCTAGCTGTTTTGACCCTTTGACTAGTAGGTGAAAAGGTGAGCTTTATTCCCTGGTATGGGGTAGCTTTCATGAGCATTAACCCTTTTCTTGGAAGACAATGTAAACAAACGTTGGTTACAGTAGGAACAAAAGAAAGCTTGGTCTTGTCTCTCTTTCTTTTCTCTATATTGCAGCAGGATGCTTTCTTCTCTCTCTGTCTGTCTCATCCCTGTGTTGCAGATGGATCTCGTAGAAGCATTGGTTTCATCACAGTAGAAATTTGTTTTTTTCTATCTCTCTTATCCCTGTGTCGCAGATGGATCTCGTCTCAAGCATGTCTCTGAACAGAGACTATGGAGCTTCGATTCGAGGGCTTCTTTTTCTTCTCTCTCTCCTCTCTCTTTGAGGCTAGGGTTTTGAAAAGCTTCAGGCGTGTCTCAAATGTGTTGCAGTGTCCGGACGTGTCTGAGATGAAAAAAAAAAGAAAAAAGAAATAAAAGAGGACACGTTAGACGGCGTGTCGAACATGTGTCTATTGCGTATCGGTGTCCAACACGTGTTGGACTCTGATATGCAGCCTTGGGGCTTCTTTTTCTTCTCTCTCTCCTCTCTCTTTGAGGCTAGGGTTTTGAAAAGCTTCAGGCGTGTCTCAAATGTGTTGCAGTGTCCGGACGTGTCTGAGATGAAAAAAAAAAGAAAAAAGAAATAAAAGAGGACACGTTAGACGGCGTGTCGAACATGGGTCTATTGCGTATCGGTGTCCAATACGTGTTGGACTCTAATATGCAGCCTTGGGAAGCGTGTCGGTGCTTCATAGATCTCTGCATCTCCACATCCTGAAACTTTCCAAGCTCCTTGACCTTTGAAACCACCTCACACAGAGAAAAATAGTGATCGGGTGGCGACAAATCCGCCATCAAAACATGCAAATACATATTTTATATAAATTGAGAAAGAGAAATTCCAGTAGTGGTCGAGGATTGGGCGATTGAGTGGGAATAGGCTTGTGGGAGGGAGTTGTAGGAGAAGACAAAAATAAGACAGGAAAGAGGTTGCTATAAAGAAGAGAGAAGAAAGTGGGAGTAGAAAAGCCGAAGGACAAAACCGTCATTTTACCTAAAATCAAAGGTTTTTGTTATCAATTTTGATGGAAGTTAATAATTGGACTATTTAAAATTAAATTAAAAACTTGGATTAAAAAAGCACAATCATAACATTGGGGACAAAAGTGGTGTTGAGTGCATACTTTAGAGACCAATAGTGCATGTGTAGCTAAGTCATTGGAGAAGATATAATTGAAGTGTTGCTATGAGCCCAGCCTTCTCCAAGGCACCTTTCTAGCTGTCCCCAAAGAGAGAGTCCTACAACTCCAACACCTACTTCTTATACTCCTCTCTAGCCTCGTAGTCAGTCTACGAAGCGGTCCCCTCGACAACTCGAAGCTTTTCCATCTTCAAATATGCTTCTTCTAGCTTATTCTCAGAAGACTTTGCCTTCTCTTCGGCACTAGCTAGTACCTTCTTCGTAGCTACATTTACCTTAGTGAGTACCCAATTGATCGTCTCAACTTTGCTCAATTGCTAGAGGAGGTGGTGACTCTTCTTGAAAACCCAAACAACCTCCAACCTTTCCAGCCTATGCATGACCACATACATTTGTTGCATTATTAGCAAAAATAATTGAGCTAACATGAGACAAGTGTAAAATCATATCAAACAAGTGATTGCCGAACAAAGGGAAAGGAACTTACCACAACAACATTCTAGATTACCGATTTAAAAAGCAAGGGATTGGTCTGACCTTGATACTTCTCCACATCAAGGGGAAGAAGCAGTGAGTGGCCAATGGCATAGGGGAGCTGAGGACACTGCCCCCCAAATCCACTAGACGTTCCCTATATGTCAACTTAGGGCACCAAGGAGGATACTTCACTACATGAATAGGGGCTAAAAAAGCTATAGCGGCCATCTTTTGTTTCTGTTGCAGAGGCCACTGAGGAGACTAATCGTCAATAGGCTGTTCACGGGTCGGATCGGATCGGTTTTTTCCATCACCGACAATCGAATTGACAACATCGGTTTGGAGAAAATATAAACCAAACTCATCCAACTGTTGCTTTGAAACCGGCGTCTTTGGGTTGCAGAAAAAACAGTCGGGCTTCGATTGGTAGTGCAACACTAGCATCTTCCTTAATTCAACAGAATCATAAGAGAAGGGAAAGGGGGGTTCGAGAGTTCTTGGGAAGAAGATTAGAGACGGGAGAGAGAAGGGGATGGGGTTTCAAGAAAGGATAATCAAAGATGGAGAGAGGAGAGGGTTTAGGGAGAAGGCGATCGAAGGAGGAATGAGAAGATAAGGGGTTGGGGGGATAGAGGACAAAGTGAGAGACAAAAGAGTAACCACCATCTCTGCCGTTGCAATATCTCTGCCGTGAGCTCAACGTACCACTGCCATCTCATATACAATATTTATATCTATATATATATTTTTTAACAGAATGCACACAAAAAGAGGAGATACGGATGATAGGGGAGAGAAAGAGTTTCTTTGGACCAAAGTAGAGAGATGGGAAAAAGTTTATTTGAAATATTGAGAGAAAAGAGAGTTATTGATAAGAGTAAAGAGGCGACGAAAAGTCAAAGAGAATAATTAGAGAGAGAGAGTTAGCCACCAAAAGCAAAGAGTGAGAGAGTTGTAACGTAATAATATGAGAGAGGCGAAAAAGAGGAGTTATTTTTTGAAAAAAATAAAGAGGAGTTATTGACAAGAGTGAAAGGAGATGAAAGGTCTAATCTAACAGAAATAATGAGAGAGGAAGAGAGAGAGAAAGAGACAAAGACTTTGAATAATGGAACGGACTACTACTGGAACTTTCTAATCAAAGAGAAATGCATTAAATGTGAGGAGGCGAACGGTCAAAACTATTTAATATTTTAATTGATAAATTTTCATAGTTGGTCGGATTTAATTTGGATTAAAACTTTTGAATTTGATGACCGAACCGAGACTCGACTTTTTGCCTTATTTACACCCGTATCTGACCGAAGTATGTAGCGAAATCGACCACATAACGGCTGGTCGGCCCGGGTCAGTCGGGTTGACCAGGTCTGACACATTTATGAACAGCCCTAATCGCCAACTTCCACCACCTATT